GCTCTATCCCACATGAACTGTTTACATATAGAAACCTTAGAATTGACCCTTGTTTGAAACATTTCCCTGACTGGAAAGTTTGATGTGACACTTTCCCATGTGCTGAAATCATTTGGTCAAAGTTTCAATTTCAAGTTGCATGTGAAAATGAAACCCAAAACAAAACTACCCAACACTCCACACCCCCACTAACACCCCCTATGCACCCTAACACACACCCCATACATACACACACCCAAATACATGCACATTAATAATCATTGCCAGTAGGTAGGAGCAGAAATATAAAAACAAAACACACCTAGGATTTTGAATATTCCTAACACTGTAGGAAGGTTTTGAATCTTAAATATAAGTGATACCTTTTACACTGTTGAATAAGTAAACATGTAGAATTCACAGGCTTATAATAATCACATTATTATTATTATTATCATCATCATCTACATGGATTCTGTGGGTCAAGGATTTAGATGGGACAAAAGGATACAACCTTTGTTTCTGAGTTTATGATGCCAGACCTAGGGCCAGAATCTACTAGAGAACTCTGGCCACATGACTAGAGCGAACCCTGACTGTGATGCTGTAGTCCAGACTCTATCTGTACTTACAAAAGGCCCCTCCATATAGATTAAGCTGCCCTCCCAGGAGGCAACCTCAGACCTTTCAGAGTCCACACAAGGCAGCATCGGATTCCATGAGACCCAGACCTTTCAACTGAGGGAAAGTCTGCTCAGCATTTTTCTAGTTATAGGTTCCTGGTTATGGGTAAATCACTGAAACTACTGGGGTTTAAAGGTAACACAGGCCAACTGCACTGTTCTCTAAGTGAAACAGCAAAGAATGTCCACCCAATTCCAAAAGCGCTCACAATGTAAGCTTGAAGACGTTCCAAGGTATGGATGATCCCGACGTTCCAAGGTATGGATGATCCCAATGCAGATTTTTGTTTGGCTGCTTTTGTTTTTATTATAGTACTTTGAGGCAGACAATAAAGCACTTGATTAAAGGGGGAAAATACCTTTGTCAATGGTATAAAGAAATGTACTATTATGGTTATGCTTTATAAAATGCCAAATTTCTCTGTTCATGGCTGTATATCTAGATATTTTCATAAATAAAAGCATACCACAATAAGATAAAGGAGATTCTGCATTTTTCCCATTCTACTCTGACTGGGACCTAAGAGTAAAGTTCCAACATATATCAACAAGTGGTTTACAGCTACACATAAAACTCCTGGAAATGTTCTAAAGGCTTTGCTGTGCAGTGACGTCCTCCAACAGAAATGTTCCTTCTTAGAGTGAGGAGGAAATGTCATAAGACTCAGGAATTAAACAAATTTCAAAGTCTCAAAAACTGAAACTTCCAAGACTACCTCCCTGGGGTTAGGCCAGCAGTAAATGATTGTTGTGGGAAAGATTCTCTGACTGGCCAAAGTCATGTGAGAGTCATGCAGGCAGCTCCCAGGACACAACTAGCTTGACTTACCATGCATGCTACGGTGACCTTGAGTCAGCTCTGCTCTTGTCAATGACCGCCAGCCATCCCTGGTTCACTAACGATTCTTGGGAAAAATCAATGACTCCCAACCATCCTTGGTTTGCTAGTGAGGCTTGGGAGGAATTAATGGCTCTCCATTTCCCCAGGTTCACCAGTGAGGCTTGGTTGCAATCCTTACTTGGATTTATTTTGGGTGCCATGTCTTAGGTGAGTGCATTGCTTTTATTGCCCCAGAAATATTAGACAACATAACCATGGTTATAATAATTAAAGAGAACTGTTCCAGCTGTTAATAAAACCAGAGTAGAGGAATTAAAAGTGCTACCTCACATTTATTTTGTCATTGAAGCTTATATAAGAAAACTGAGCCTGGATAGATTTATGACTTTTTTTTTCCTTTTTCATTTTAAGGTCATGGTATACTACAGTGAATGACAAATTGCTCATACATAAAAAGAAAAGACACTAATATGAAAATCATATTTCCCAAATATGATGATATATTTTGGCTTCAACTAAAATCCAATCCCTGTAATTACTTGATCACTAGAGTCTAAATATATCATATTTTGAAATAATATATTGGTTCTACATTGAAAGACATATTTCATTTTGTCCTCATAAAATATGTGTCCATAATTCACTGCCGCCTACTCTATGTACTGCTGCTCAGGTAGGACCTGTTAGGCTGCCATTTTAACTCTTTTCCATAGAGATTCGGAAGAATACAGAGAATAAAACGAGAATAAAAATCGACCCATCTGTAATTTATAATATTTCTCTGCCTTTCATGAACCCTGGCCATGTGTAATTCCAATAAAGATGCATATTTCGCATCTCTGCTGAAAGTCATGATGCTTTTCCATAAAAGGGAAGAGAAGAAAGAGTATTGTTCATCTCCTGCCTACTGTATGAACCCATAGCTAAGATGGAATCTAGGGTACCTGAGCTCTTCAGTCTGTAGGGTTACTGATCGTTATATATATTAAAGGACTCAAACAAGTATCTATATAACCGCTCACAGCAGGATTGACAATCAATGAGTGTGGCCTTGCCCTATCAGGATCTGAGAAAACCTGAACTTGTTCAACATCAAGCAAAAATGAGGATAACAGGGTAGAGTTTACCCTGGCATTGCCCACAGGCAGTCACTTCTCTTTGAAGGTTTTTCCTGTTGATTTTCCTGTTGATGAAAATGAATCTTGCCATGAAATCAGAAAGGATAAGCCATCGCCAAATAAGAAGATGCATTATTGAACAGGAAACCCTCATATTACTAGCACATCAAATAATTAAAGTTTGCGAGAAAGTTGTTATGTTTTCATGTAACACTCATCCCAAATCCCTTTCCTTTCAACACACCCTCTAGCATGTCATAAGACTATATTCCAGAATTTTTACCAACCTTGCTATAAATGCCAAAATGGCTTTAATTACAATGTCAACTGTTTGTGACAGCCACTTGTAAATTTCATCTGAAGAAGACAACAGGTACAAGAAAGGCACTTTCATTTTCTCCCATTTCTGTAGTCTTCTCTGGGTGTATGTAGCCACTGTGGTGGCTAACATAACCAGTAATCATGTTCCCTAACTTCTCTGACCATGTTTCTCACTGTCCAAAGATGAGCTTACACAATCACTGCCTCCACGATCCCCCTTCCCAAATTTCACCATCGATTCCACTAAAATAGCAGCCTTCTAAAAGCAGAATATGCAGCAAGTTACTCCAAAGACTGCAAGCAACAGCCAGATAACCCTGAAGCTTTGTGGTTGCGCAGGAATTCCCAGCCATATGGTTTATGAGGAACTTTGCCTTTCAAGAAATTTCTAAATTTACAGCTAATTTTCTTGAGGTGTTTTGATGTAAAGCTAACATGCTAACGTATTGCTTATTTGCTTATTTTATTTCTTGGAGTTCCCCCAAAATACATCTGTCCTAATCATTTATAATGTACTGTTTGTCCTAGCTTGTCTCCCGGATTGTTTTTCTATTGAGTGTACTTCACATATTCTAGGATCTGGCCATTGTGTGAAAAGTCATGACTAGAAAGGGGATTCATGCTATAGATGTTAGCCTGGGCTTCCACATTTTAGTTTTGTTTTTTTGTTGTTTCTTTGCTTTATTTCTTTACTTAAAGGTTATTGGTTAAAATTTAATGATATAAAACATAGCATTTCCCCACCACCACTAGCAACACAATAAAATGAAAATATCCAACTTATTTGAACTTTCTGACATACTTCTAGAACTGTTTGCTATATTACACAATTAACTTTATAATTAACTTTATAATGATTCTGGAATAAATCTTAAAATCTAACTTTTTAACCACAAGGGTTAAAGGTATGGCACAACCACTTCAAACAAATCTAAGTCAATTAAACATTCAATATTAAAGTCAATATTAAAGAATATTTTAAAGAAATATGTAATGTGGATTGTGACAAGGGGCAAGGGATTATTTTATAGCTATCTGTTCTTTAATATTTATACTGTTTCTTCCAAATGCAGTCAAGTCACTAGGATGGAGGGGCTAGCAACAGTTTATTCATTTATGAAACTTCGCACAATCACAAGTATCCAGAATTAAAGATCAGTGAAATCATTACTTTTGTAAGTTAGAGACTTGACTATTGGACCAATACAAAAAGTGCCCATTTAGGTGGCTTAATCAATATCTAAGTACTTAATAAAAAATTATTTATGATGAGAAATTATTAGTCAGTTTGTTGGCACTTTTTTATTTTAAAAATCATTATTTTAAGATCATTCCTTAATAGTTTAAAAATAAAACCCATACATGATTTTCCAAGCAGTCTCAAGGTCAGTTCCCATAATAGTGTAATATATGAAATGATAAAAACCTAGTGTGGTCAAATGATGTAACGGTACACGTGCCCCTGCTGACCAAATAATTTTTCAGATTCCTTATGAATACATCTCTACAAACACTGAAGAAATGGTAGCACTTTGTAAAATGGGAAGTAAAGCAGCTCAAATTCTACAAACTTCAACCTGATGTTTCATAATGTATTCTTGCCTTCGAGTCAGGTATTGTGTAACAACATTACTGAAGCCTTTTAAGGCCTAACCAAGACTTTCTTTTGTTTTCAGATAAAGACATGGAGTAACCTCACTTAAGTGGGGAGAGTGAACTGAGGAGAGAATATCATGAGAGAATGTGTGTGACCTGCTGCATAAAAGAAAGAGTGTCCAACCAGAGAATCAAAACAGTGTACCAATCTACAGAAACATCCCACAGAGGCTTCAAAAAGGTTCAGCTATATGACAGCAACCTACAATACAAGAAGCATATTCCCAGGAGGAGGCAGGGACAATGACTGAAGAAGAGAGAGATGTCAGAATGGGTAGCAGTGTAGTCCCAGAAAGGAGAAGGCACAGGGAACAGGGAAAGCCATCTCTGTATTGTAAACAGGGCCCCCCGTATTGCAGGAGCCACGTCAGTGATCAAAGAAGCAACCTCAAAGCTCAGTACCTTTGCTTTATCACGCATTGATCCTTTGCCCAGGATAGACATCTTAGCGCCTGTTTCTTCCTGGAGCCTCTTCAAGGAGTTTCCTCTTGGTCCAAGCAATTTCCCAACAAAATTGAACTAGAAAACAAAATCAACAGAATGTTTGAACTTAGGGAGTTTGAACTTGTAATTTGCATCAAGAATAAGTAATGATTGTAGGCTTTTAAACTTTGCCATTAAGAAGTAATGAGGCGTACACCCATACATTAAGTATACATTTGCGCACGTGCACACAATAACACCTGAAATTACTTCAATCCAAGATCTTCAATCCAAGAGTGCTTTTAAAGGAATACTACATCCTAAAAGAGAGTCAAGATCAATAGTACAGTGAAAATATTATTTATTCAAATAACCAAATATGTCACTTACATAGAAACAAAGTGAAAGGATTATAGAGACCTAAAAAAGTCTAATGGATTTTTTCTCTCCAAATTATTAAAATCAATAAATTTCCCACAAATTCTAGGACCTTCAAAACTGAAAAAGTTAACATATTAAATTTATTTAATAATAGAATGTAATTTTACTTGACATTGCATATGTCTATATTATTCTGTAGCAAATATGGTTAGGAAAAGTGGGGGTAAATTACTCTTCAATATTTTATTCTATTAAATACTCATTCTTAGTATGAGAAAATAAGAGATTTGAGCATACAAAAGACTATCCCACATACACATACACACACATATATCATATACACATCATATACTATAAAATTATAAACTTATATGCAAATTTTTATCAATTCTAAACTATTAACATAAACAAACTGATTAAGAATGGTCAGTAATTTGTCAGCTTCTATAGGGAATATTTAAAAACTAAAAGATGAAGTTTTCATTTATGCTATACGATCAAATCAGGTTCAAAATCTAGATTGTAAGATACGTTGCAAAGTATTATATTTTTAAAGGATAAGTAATTTAAAATTGTGACCTTACAATAAGACACACCACTATTGCTTTTCTTTTGTTGTTACTGGAGATTGGCCTTAAGACCATCCATGAGTCAGGTGAGTGCTCTACCTCTGGAAGAGCCAAGGGTAGCATCAAATTCACTCTGTAACTCAGGTAGGCTTTGAATTCCTCCTGCCTCTGTTTACCGATGAGTAGTGATTACAATCCTTGACCACCAGGCCTGGGTAGAAGGATGATTACTTGAGGTATAGGATTTGGGAAGAAGCTAGGTAAGGAAATGGAAAGGGATAATTGTTGCATTTCTTTGCGTGTGGTGAGATGTTTTAAAACATAGTGATAGCTCCAGAACACTGAACAAACTAAAAGTGGATAGAATGTTCATTTGGACAGATGTATTAGATTTAATTAGATCATCAAAAAGTTGCTTAACAGAGAATATCACAGAAATGTTTTTAAAATACATACATTATATTTAATATTAGCATTAGATACTTTGTTGTTAGGCACATAATAAAGGGAATCTTTCTACTCTAATTACAATTATTCATTACCACATTGAGATGTGGATTGTTTCCTACCCAGGTATTAGACAAATGGATCAATTTAGTGCCTAAAATGATGGCATGACCATCAGCTGATTTTCCACAGATATACCAATGAAAAATAAAGAAGAATCTTGATAAGTCTTTCAACAAATCATGTTAAATTAAATCAATATACAAAACAGAACACAACACACAAAACACAACAAAAGAAATATTCTATTTAAAGAAGAAGTCAAAAGCCAAAAATAGACATTTTTTTCAACTTCAGACATACACAAAACCTGGCTGAGAGTGATCATAGATTTTAAGTTAATAGATAAAATTATAAATATTATGAAAAGAAATTATATAAAGCTACTTTGGAAAACAGGCTAGTAAAAAATAACAAATTATGATGCATATACATAAGCCCATTGATCCACAAACACATTTTACATATTGAATATAGAAGTCAAAGTCCACAAACACATTTTACATATTGAATATAGAAGTCAAAGACCGGAAAAGAAATATTCCATAGGTAGATAACAAAATTGACTAGCATCAAGAATTTACAATGAACTCCCTGAATTTCTCCCTGAATAAATACCTATTCGACCTATTTGTTTCTCCTGACCCTTATTAAACATCAATGAACTCTATCAAATCAAAACTAACGAAACTATAGAAGACTACAATATCTAAAATTAAAAACTGGAGCCACATGTTAGCATAAATGTGAAAGTATTGAGGCAATCAGCAGCGGGAAGTTTTTAAAGTTAGGTATAGAGAAAGACACAAAGAGACAGCGAGAGACAGAGAGAAACCAAGACACTGTAGCTAAAGAAAGAAAACACATTGCCCCAAATAGGGGGAAGCAAATTCTCTGGCTGGCTCAGAGGCTGCTTAACCCTGATTAACACACCTCCCTCTCACACTGCACCTCTTCCTACTCCCTGTCCTGTCTAGGGAGAGACAAAACAGTGTGGGACTCAATGTATCAGCTTTTGAACATCTTATATGCTCTTTCTGGGCAGAGGATTCTATTTCCTTTCCTTTTTCCAAGCAGTTGCCTCAGAGAACCTGGGAACCCTGGGATCGATCAGGTGGTAGAAAGAACTACAACAGTATGGCTGCGCTAGACACTGCCACCAGGCAGCTGCTCTTCGAACTGGGTCCCAGAGCCACAAAAAGAAACTGAGGTTTTAAGTTAGGATGAACTGTTTTCACAAGCTGTTTTCCAGAGGTCATAAAGCTCAGCCAACACAGAGACTCAGACCTGTCTGATCACATACCTGCATGCCTTCTTGAGTGGAATAAAACGGCACTAAGCAGACTTGTGTCTTGGATATGAGGGGAGGTAAAAACATCAAAGTCATGGGTGAAACTGTACACGTTTAAAAACTCTGCCAGGTGGTACAGAGACTCGTGTCTTGATGGCGGACAGGCTCGCTTTACCATGCAGCTGAGCTCATGAACAGAGAGTAACCATGTTTGTCACCATTTTGCTGAATGGCATCATACATATATGCAATGTTACCACCATTCACATGGCGTAAGTCAAAATGGTGATTCCCCATGAACGGCGTAAGTCAAAATGGTGATTCCCCATGAACGTCCCAGTGCCGTTGGACCTACAGTAGTAGCACTTTTATATTTCCTACTATATTTTACTATGTTATATTATATCATGAATCCAGAACTAAATTAAGGGGGGAAAAGAATATTTTAGATACCTGTTAATGAAGTAATCCAAGTGAAATAATGTTTGACTTGAGTTATAAATTAGCCAGTTTACCCTCTGAGCTTATACTATCCAAGAACAGCCTGTTTGAGACTTATAATTTTCCATTTTTTTTTTTGCCATGGCAAATGAGGATTTATGAGCTGTTCATCAATATGCATTTGAAATACCCCCTTTAAAAATGTCACATTTACACATGAATTCCAGTAGTGATCTGTCCCTTCTCAGAAATGCTAGATTGTGCACTTTCTCCCTTTGCTGTGGGCACAGCGTCTGCTTCTGCCTGACCGAAGGTAGCGCAGGTGTATAGTCCTGCATCAGGCAGGCTGAAGATGTAGGACCTCAAGCCAAAGATCAGCCTATGCTCATGAGGGACACCCCAATATCAAAATAAAGACCTGAGTTTTAACAACAATAATAAAAAAGAGAAGATGGGGAATGAAAGAGAATGTTTCCGGATTAGCTAATGAAGTGCTATATGGCCATAAGCCAAATTTTACTCTCTCACTCTATATATATTGAATATATATATATATATATATATATATATATATATATATATATATAAATCAAAGGTGGTACATGAAATAATTATTTATACCCATCAACTTAGGCAATGTAGAATAAAATTGGAACTTCTATTTTTAAAAAATTTCCAGAAACTTACAACTTCGCCTGAGGGGAAAGGGCCTTACATATAAAGTGCTACATAATTCCACTCAATGTGTTAAATTCTGTGAAATGAGTACAGATTAAGGCCTGGGAAGATCCAAAGGAAGAATTTTTTTGACTAGGGGGCAATTATGAGATTCATTCTTCCTTCCTTCCTTCCTCCCATTTGCTTATTAAAGAAGGAAAAGGGAATTACATATTTAAAAAGTTCTAAATGGGAAAATGGTGAATAATATGCTGTAGAATTTGAGGTCCTAAAAATGTTATCTCCCAATAAAAAATGTTTAGTGTGTCTTGATGAGCAGTAACAATTAGGCCAACAGAAGAGTGTCCAATGCAGGTCACAGGAAGAGAAAGACAAAGGCTCACAATAAGGCATGGCCAAATACAGGTTTGGGGTGCTCTGGTCAGTACAGACCTTAACACTCTATATACCCTTACTCAACAAAATAAAATATAATAACATATATTCAGATCAAACATGAAAAAATAACAAAACACCTGGATGTAGAGCCAAGCAGCTGAGGGCACTTTGAAATGTTTTCTAAGATGGTTGCACTGGAAACAGAAATCTAAGAGCCAGTCTTAGTGTCTGTGAGGACCTTGAAACACCTACTTGGCTCACAAACTCCAATTTTAACAATCGGGTCTCCATCTTAAGGCATCTGGCAACCGAGGCTGAATCTAGCCCCAGGAATATGCTGTGTCCGCAGAAATTTGAACAAGCACCCTAGAGATGCAGTCAACCAGAGGATAGGGCAGTAAGTTCCAGATGTACTATCTTAATGGTTTACTGGTTTACAGATATGTGTATAGACATCCTGCTAGCCATTTATGGGATGGCGCCAATGGCTGGATGAGTAATTTTATAAAAAGATCGCCTTGCCCAGTGTACCCACTGACACAATCCCAAGATGCCAGGGCATATGCCTCCCCCTACGCACACATGCACTCATGATCTTCTTTCCTTTGAAAACGTGTGCTCGTTTGTATTCGGGGCAGCATTCCCTCAGCTGCTGCTTGGGAGTGTGAACCAAAGTTAACTGAAATAAAAGATACCCTTGCGTGATTGCATCGGACTCTGGCTCCTTGTGGTCTAGTGGCAGTTCCTAGACACGGCATAACACTAGTTGCCATGCACACTGAGAAATGTAGATGATGATATATGTTTAGTAATATACACCCAGTTTCTAGGTAGAGGACCAACTTAAATTA